TAAGTTTTTCCGTATATATTTGCCAGTATTTTTTCTCTTGTAAATTTCACTTTTTTCCTGCAAACTTCTGAGTTTTCTCATATTTAGTTTTTCCTTGTAAATGATTGTGTTTTTCTCTTTTGAATTTTTCTTTTCTTTTTCTAGCAAATATTGTTTTCTGAATTAAATGTAAGAGTTGATTTGGGTGATTTAGTCTCACCGTCGTCTTCCAGGCGCTCCTTGCCGCCGCTCTCGATGCCGGAGGTGTTGGAGCTGCCGTGGCTCGTTGTGGAGGAGCTGCAGGTCCGAAGGGGTCGGTGCTGCCCCCCCGCCCTGCAGCTGTCCTGCCCCCCCGCCCTGAAGCTGTCCGCCTCGATGCCGGAGGTCTGCGAGCTGCCGTGACTCGTGGTGGAGCTTCGGTGGAGGCGTTTGTGGTGCTTCATGCTGCCGGCGCTGCTGCCGCTGGCCCGCGAGCGTTTATCCATCTGATCCATGTCCAGGTCCAGAGCGTCGCTGATGTACGACTCCCGGTACTGCTTCTTATCTGGGAGTCAAGATAATAACACGGTTCAGGATTTAATCATGTTCATTTATAAAACTTATAAACATTTTGTAAACCGCTAACTTTCTCTTCAATAAAATCCAATCTCCCCAAGTCTTTTTTTATGACAGTGATTTTCTTGTACCACTTAAATCTCAGAGCTAATCAAACTCTTTGTTTCTCTAACTAAACAATTTATTATCACAGACAATCAAGGTTATTCTATTAGAAATGTGGGACCTTATCTCAAGAATATGCATGTTTTTTCTTACTTTTTCTTGTAAATTTAGCAATACAAAAAAATCACAGAAAATCTATGTTTTTTTGTATATTTTTGAGTTTATTCTTGTATATTTAGCACTTTATTCTAAGACAAAATAAAATGTTATTCTCGTACATTTGTAGCTTAAATCTCAGAGAATAGCTTCGGTTTTCCAATCTGTGAGTATGACCCCTGGATCGTCTCCGTTATGTATTTCGTTTCTTACTTATACAGAGTCCTACAAGACCGATCAAGCACATTTTCTTTATATAACTCAATATCAAAAGTTTGCCTCAGAGGGCTTTACAGTCTGTGCAGAATATGACACCCTCTAACTCCTTTTCTGCACTCAAAGCAGACGATAAAAACAAATTCCAGAGTAATAAAGTTTACCTTCGTTCTCCTCGAGGCGGCGCACCTGTTTGAGCACCGGCTGCAGGTTCATGTAGAGCCGGTGGCTGTTGCTCAGCAACTGCAGGAGATGCCGGGATCTAATCGGACATCCGGTGTAGTACATCAGTTTACGAGCCGACGGGAGGCCGTCAGGGAGGATCTCAAACTTCTTACCCTGAAACACAGAGGGGAGAAAACACCCTTTTTAATCTCAGAAAAGTCCCTTTTTTTCTTGTTAAAATGTGAAATTATAGTCATATAAAATATTTATTTATTCATTCCCAAAACTTGACTTCCAATGTTGAAATGCAGCCTACGCCCTCCTCTACATCGTACACCAAAAACCCAGAAAATAAAAATCCCCTGAACGCATCATCTGCAACATCTGGAGTTCATTGAACCCCCCGCCCCCCCGCCCTGCTGGTGACGTGCATGGAGGAGAAACCACAGCCGACGGGAGGAAAGAACACGGAGCAGGAAAACAGGAAGTGTTGATGTTGAGCTGCAGCTTGATCCAAAATTAGGACGAAGTTCACCACAAAAACTCCCGGGACGTTACGAGACAATTACACCGTCTGCAGCCGTCACCTCGGGAATAGATCCAGGATTAAAGGAGTTCAGGAGGGTTTGGGAAAACTTGGATTCATCTCAGTCCTTTCAGGTCTCCCTAAAAATTACACGGATGTCCTCGCAAAAATCTGAGTTTGTAATCTTATTCCTGGGACGACTTGTTCTGCGTTTCACCGTGGTCTCAGGACATGCAAACGTTTGGCAAATAAGTCGGGTAACGTTTGAAAAAAAGAAACATGACATGTTTGACTGCTGTTGTTTCACACATGATGTTAATGTGAGAAGCACATGGTCATAGATAGATTTGATATCATATTTTGAGATTTTAAAATGCAGATTCAATAAATCCTACTCTCAGTTTTGTCTCATTTTGAAAGACTTTAAAGACCTTGCACACGGCACTGTTTATTTTCTATGTTTTTTGAGCACATTTCTGAGATGAATGTGTTTAAATGTCTTTTTATATATTGTTTCTTTTGCATCTTCTTTCGTTTTAAATGCTCCATGTAAAGCACTTGAATGTTCAGGTTGCTGAAATGTTTGCTATAAGTAATCTTACCTCATATATAACAATTAATTGTGTTAAATGAAATAAGATAAGAGTCAGAGGAGTTGGTTTTTGTGCAGCAGCGGTGATAATGACCTCTGCATGGTGATGAATAAACTCCTGCAGTAAACACGAGTCTTTAGAGAGAAACGGAAAGAAAGTGAGCGTCCACAGAAACAGATCAAATAAATAAATGAGCAGAGGGGAGGAAATACTGCTGCTGAATGTGTGTGTGTGTGTATGTGTGTGTGTGTGTGTGTGTGTGTGTGTGTTTGCGTGTGTTTGTTTTTGTGTATGTGTGTGTGTGTGTGTGTGTGTGTGTGTGTGTGTGTGTGTGTGTGTGTGTGTGTGTGTGTGTGTGTGTGTGTATGTGTTTGTTTGTGTGTATGTGTGTGTGTGTGTTTGTTTGTGTGTACGTGTGTGTGTGTGTGTGTGTGTGTGTGTGTGTGTGTGTGTGTGTGTGTTTGCGTGTGTGTGTTTGTGTGTGTGTTTGTGTGTGTTTCTTTGCGCGTGTGTGCATGTGTGTGTGTGTGTGTGTGTGTTTGTTTGCGCGTGTGTGCTTGTGTGTGTGT